ACCAAATAAAACCAAACAAAACACAACAGAACACAAAACCAAACCAAAAAACAAAACATTATGAGACACCCTGGGTGCGTTCTTCGTACAGTACCTCACTTAAATGATTAAAGATGATTTGGCAGATACTGGATCTTTTAATCATGATAACTGATCTCTAATTTGGTTCTTCAAACAGGTTTGTGTCTGGAAGAACTGATCTGAGACCACTGTGTGTGCTGAAAGAACAGATCTATTGATCCTTGAATTTATGATCAGCAATGCAACGATTGGCTGATGGTAAAGCAGCGTAATGACATTATCTAATTGTTTGTTATGATTTTATTTGTTTTATTGTTTGTTTGCTATTATTGCTTTCAAAAAAAAGTCACGTATTCTGCATGTCTATTATCATGCACAAATTGTACTAAAGTGATCTAAAAAGTTCATATCAATAATTTTTTTCTTTGAACCAAAGTACTTTCACTTCGGAATGCAGATTGCATAAGTTTTATTAATACATATATTATTTATTTTCCAAAGTGTACATACTCAGTACATTCGGTACATACATTCAGTATTATCTTTGCTTGAAATGATCCGACCTAATCCTGTTTATATGAAATGAGCCTGCTCCTTAGCAAGTTGGAACGAAACAATCCTGGATCATGTCAAATTGTCAATAACCAAATCCAGATAATTGAGTAATCCATGTACGAAGAACCGACCCCCTGTTGCAAAATAAAACAAACAAAACACAGCAAAAAAAAATCATTACCAAACTAAATGAAAACACAACAATAAAACGCAACAAAATCCAACCCAACACAACCAAACAAACCAAAACACAACAAAACCAAACACAACACATCAAAACCAAACAAAACACAACAAAACCAAATAAAACAAATCAAAGCAACAAAACGCAACACAACAAACCAAACTAAAACCAAACCAAAACACAACAAAACCCAACTAAAACCAAAAAATAAAATCAAACAAAACACAACAAAACCCAAACCAAAATAAACTAAAACAAACAAACAACAAAACATAACAAAATCCAACCCAACAAAACCAAACAAACCAAAACACAACAAAACAAAACCAAGCAAAACACAATAAAACTAAACCCAACACAGTAAAACCAAACAAAACAAAACACAACAAAACATGCTTATATTTACAGTAGATGGTTTAAATTTAAATCTGCACTGCTTTAACAATACCAAAAATACAAATACAAAAAGCAAACAAAAACAAAGAAAAAGCTAAGAAAAAATTAAGCAAATAAAATCATTTAAAAATTAAGTGAAACAAAAAACAATAATTTTTTTTGTTTGTTTCAATTATACGTTATTTGATTAAAACAAAAACTACACTGGACGAGCCTATAATCCATTTAGAAGTAAAACCGTTGAACTGAATTGATACATTTACAATTAATATTAAAAAGAATTTTGTTTTGTGCCTTTTTGTCAGAAAGGAATAGTGTTTTCTCACAACACAGTGTAATATTTGGGCATAACAAAGAAAAAAACAACATCAACAACATACTGTAGTATCCCTGAATTCTATCGATTTAGAAAATTTATTGTATTTTGTATTGTAAATTTGTATCGATTTACATGTTTGTTAATCAAACAAGGTGGTACAGTAATCAGACAACTGTATTAAAATTCTCCAATTATCACTCATCATGCTTGATACAGTGACCAATTACTAATCGTGACTTATTTACATTCAACAAGGCCGTTTCAGTTCATTCATGCTAAGAGGAACTCAACAGCTGATGTAAAAAAAAAAAAAAAAACTCTCAGAGCCCAAGAAGAATCAAACACTCCATTAGTGTCCATTAAACCCCTTCCTGCTGTGAAACAGACCCTCTTCTGACAGGGAGGAAAGTGCTACATCAGTACAGACTCTGCTGTATTTGGTCTGGCTTTTGTTTCAAGGCCTGATCCCTCAACCCTGCCACTATTTGTCAGCTCCTCCATTGTGTCTCTCCAATACCACAGTGAGCCTGCATGCAGATTTCCGATAACTGTGCTGTCCTAAACAGCTGGATCAACTCAGGAGGGGGGTTGCAGGAGAGGGGGAGCTGCCTTATGTCCTATAATCCCTGCAAATCAAGAATAAACGGGAACCGCCCTTCCCCGAAACCCCCTTCACCCCCAGAAAACATCCCCCAGAGCTGCAGTGAAACCCTCTCGGTGCGTCCCGGTACAAGGGTCAATTGATTGTAACCTTTGGCAAGTCAAATCAGCTTCCCACTGCTCTGAGCTGGTGGACTGCAATGACCTGTCGATGCTCAATAAATCACAGATGCATTATGGGTGTGTCCTAAAACCTACCTAAAGAACGGTAAACTGAAATCGTAGGCAGATCCTAAAACAAAGGCTATAGAAGCTGTAGATGTGGTTTTCCAGAATTTACAATTGCACCTCATTTAAGCCAACATGCAACAAGATTTGAAAACTTGCAGTTGGAAGGGCAGCAGCCGCATAAAACGTATGCAAGAGTAATTGGTGGTTCATTTCACTGTGGCGACCCATGACAAATCAGGGGCTAAGCTGAAGGAAAGTGAGTGGGCTTTGAAAACATCAACAATTAAGCATATTTCAGTTTAATATTCAGAAGAAATTGTTTAATCTGTACATTTGATGATTAAACTCACATAAGAACACATTTTAAACTGAAGTGAGAAGTTGCAAGCTGTTTATTGCCGAATCAAACTTTTCAAACAATTTCTATTTGCGATACTGACAGAGTTATTAAACTGAACTGAATCAACAATGAGCTAAAGTGAGCTAAATAGTGATCCCACAGAAGAATCTGGCAATATTTACCATTGTTCTCTTCAAAAATGTAAAACAATGTCTTGAAATGATCTGTAGTGTATAAAGCCCTATTTAAAACAAGTAACTTAAAGGGACAGTTAACACAAAAAAATAAATAAAAATAAAACAGGCCTCGTTTACCCTTTCACTTGTTCCAATTCTATTTGAGTTTCTTTCTTCTGCTGAACACAAAAGAAAATATTTTGAAGAAAGCTGGAAACTAGAGCTGCACGATTCTGGCTAAAATGAGAATCGCAATTTTTTATTTTTTTTTGCTTGAAATAAAGATCAACATTTTCTCACGATTCTGTAGATGTATAATAAAGCTTAATAAGAGATTATTGTTTTTTTTTCTCAAACATATGGTAAAACGACAATAGAAGTATTATGTGTAGGTCTATTGGTTTCTATAAGTTATTCTATTTTACTTATAATAATTCTAATGTTGAATTATGTATGAGTTGCTTGCAATTTGTCATTGACAACATTAATAGACCATTTAATTCACTGGTAAAATCAGCATTATATAGGCTAGAGTAGTTATACTGACACTGTAAACATTTATTTTCATGCACAATTGGGTTTTCGCTATGAAAGAAAAAAACTTGTCTGTTTGTCGCAGTCATAATTCTAAAATACGATGATTATTTAAAAGATGCTCTCAAACGATCACTCTGTGCCACAAACTGAATATTATTTACAACTTTATTACCTGTTACTCACAGTATATGCAGGTTCTGTTCACTAGACAGTAGTCAGCAGCTTACGTCATGTGTGATTTCCTGGCCGCGAATACATCATTATATGAAGACAAAAATGACATTTTTGGGTGAATTATACCTTATAAATACAGTATGTGACTCTTTAAACATCATTTGGAGGTGTCCATGTCGCTGAGCAATGTATGTGAAATAATGAAAAGACTCGTGCAGCCGCCTTTGCTTCTCTCTTGAACTTGAAATTATGATTGGTAGAATCGTAGAAATGCTGGATTAAGATCGTCTAGGGGGTCGAATCAATATTGCAATCTTTTTTCGATTAATTGTGCAACTCTACTGGAAACCTGTACCAATAGACTTCTATGGTATTTGTTTTTCCTAATATGAATGTCAATGGTTACAGGTTTACACCTTTCTTAAAAATCTCTCTCTCTCTCTCTCTCTCTCTCTCTCTCTCTCTCTCTCTCTCTCTATATATGTATATATATATATATGTATATATATATATATATATATATATGTATATATATATATATATATATATATATATATATATATATATATATATATATATATATATTTATATATATATATACACACACACACACACTCACTCCTAAAACTCACTCCTAAAAAGAGCTAGACACACCCACTTTCCCGACTTTTTTCAAACTAGAAAGTTTGAAAACACCCCGCTGAGACAGAGGGGTTTCGTGGCCCTTTAGCAAAATTGTTTAATTAATTAAATTAAAAATAAATAAATAAATAAACAAATAAAAAAAATGAAAAGAAAAAAGAAAAGAAATATCTAAATTGCATTGAAAATAGATTTAAAAAAAAAGAAATTACAATAAAAATAAAATAAAAAGCTAAATTGCATTAAAAAATAAATGAACAAAAGAAATAAGAAATGAAAAAAGAAAAAAAGCTAAATTGCATTAAAAATAAAAAATAAATAAAAATAAATAAATAAATAAATAAAAGGGAAAAAAGAAAAAAAGTAGAAATAAAAAAAAAATACAAAAACTATCAGGCTATCAATAAGAAAAGCAAATATAAAAAGCAAATCACTAAAAAGCAAATAGATAAAAATGCAGTGTGATAATTATCATCAGCAACAGCAACAAACCAAACAAATTTGTCCAATCAGACACCGCAAACCAGTATTGAAAAAATACAGTTACTGAAAAAAATAAAGCCAAAAATACTGATACACACTTGTAGACTTGACTATCAACTCTACATATTCATGACATTATAAAGCAAGTCTACAAATGACAACTACTAGTGTGGACTCAAGAACGTCAGCTAAATCTGCCGTTTACAGTATGAAGAGCAACTCTAATCAGTTATTTGAGGTTGAATTTTGATTGGTGGCAGACACATAAACAGGCACTGTATCAGCTGTAAATCCCAGCGATGCATCTCAGCTCAGCGTTGTGATAATGCTTGTAGATCTTACCATTTTGATGGGCTTCTGTCGGAGCTCTGACTCTGTCACTGGTACATTCTGGTCTTTGGGTGCCAAGCCCTTTCGGCCCAGGAGCTGTAAGAGTGCTGGGATGTCTTTGGGCGGCCCCTCGGCCCCCGGGCTCCCACCCAGCAGAAGACCATAAGTGCGACAGTAGAGTTCAGGAGACAGCAGCAGACGCGTAACAGGGGGCTTCAGGTGCTCTTGCTCATACTGATCACAATAGAACGGGTCTCGCAGCTCCACCGGGACATTCTCTACAGGAAAGGACAGATAGAAAAACAGAACATGATCAGAATTTAATATAGTCACATAAAGCCTCTGTACTGTACACTGTATGAAGCCTGGTTTATATTCAACTTCGCTTGAGTGCTCAATGTGACATCACTGATGTGTTTGCAGAGGTTCGCTTTGGGTGTGTGAGACATGATTTTGGCTGGCAGAGTGCACAACATTTTTTGAGACTCAAGCGAACAGCATTTCATTTGAGTCCGCAGGTATGACTGTTTACAGACATCTTTATGATCTGTCCATGCATGATTAATGTAAAACCCCAAAAGTTAAGGTAGCTCAAACTATTTAAGAAAACCGATTGCAACAAACCATTTCAGTTCAGAAACTAATCTATTTGAGTAAACGAAGCAATTTAAGCACAGTAAAATCCAATAAATGGAGAACTCAAACCAACTGAGCACTGTAAAAATCAATTAGTTAAGACAACTTAAACCATTTGAGGAAACTGATTGCTACAAAGCATTTGAGTCTATTTGAATCTATTTGAGCACTGTGAACTTACTCCATTTGAGTTGAAGTAATGAGGTATTTAATTAATTCATTACCTTCAACACTCATGACACTTCAACACTCTAAAACTCTTTTTAAATGAGTAGAATTAACTTCAATAAATTTTGAGTTAACTACACTCGTTTCATTTGATGAAGTTGGCTGTTGGGTTTTACAGTGTAGAGAAAACCAGATGACCAATACATTTTCGATACATTCATTCTTCCATGGCGGGGCGCCACGCCAAAATTCATCCTGCCACAGTTACATTATAGCTTCAAAACAATATATTTTTTAATAGCAGATAATAATCGTACCAAAACGTATTAAAGGGTAAGTGAATTATGACAACACAAACTTTTCTGTAACCGTAGTAGTGATGTGCCTCATTTGTTTAAACCTTCAAGGTTACGTGCTGACTGACAGACAGGTGTGTGATGCATAAGGCCAGCAAACACGACGTATAGCCGTTTCACTTTACTTCAGGACGCATTAATACCACTCTGTGAGGATTGGAGACATTCATAAATATTCCTAACAAATCTCATAAATGCTGGAGGCATACTTGTTACATAAATGCACTAAATCGCACTTCAGCAGTTTTTATTTGAGAGCGCACAAGAGGATCTGCTCACTCATGAAGCGGCTTATATTTGAGGGGCGTGCAAGAAGTTTTGTGCTCAAGCAGAGGAAATCAGCGTGCAAACAAAGAGATCCGCATGCTCATAGGCTATTACATAAATGCGATCTCGATTTCTAATACTGCGCACACGACATTTGTCATTTGAAATAACGCCACAGGTAGTTGGTAGATCTGTGTGTAAATAAAAAAAAAAAGGCCTTCCACCACAGCTGGAAAAAATCCTAGAGGAAACACTGCAATAATTCTTGGCTAGAAATTGCAACAGCCATGTTAAGGAATAAAGTTTTAGTAAAAGTTTGGGAAAACTTGAGTGATAAGTTTGTTCCAACCAAAAGAAGCCTTGGCAAAAGTGGAGACCCAGGTGATTTTAATACACAATACAGAAAAATGCTTTTTTCACCATTAAATTTGATATTAAAACAATTTAATAGTTACAAAACTATAATTAAAAAACTAATTATTCATTCATTCATTTTCTTTTCAGCTTAGTCCCTTTTATTAATTCGAGGTCACCACAGCAGAATGAACCGCCAACTTATCCAGCATGTTTTTACGCAGCGGATGCCCTTCCAGCAGCAACCCATCTTTGGGAAATATCTACACACACTCATACACTATAGACAATTTTAGCCTAGCCAATTCACCTGTACCGCATGTCTTTGGATTGTGGGGGAAACCGGAGCACCCAGAGGAAACCCACGTGAACGCAGGGAGAACATGCCAACTCCACACAGAAATTCCAACTGACAGAGCCGAGGCTCGAACCAGCGACTTTTTTGCTGTGAGGCGACAACACTACCTACTGTGCCACTGTGTCACCCTTAAAAACAAATGATTTCTTTGATAACTGAAAAAGATTCATTGAACCTATAGGTTAGTAACATACAGATGCCCTGATTTTTGGGCTTTTTGGTAAAAATAAGGGTCAAGAATGTTGGACCATTATTGCCTTTTTGAAATATTTTTAGACACAAACTAGCCAGACAGTGAATTGTGTGATTTGTGGAGTGGGCCGTCAGCATTTTTTAGAAAGTGTACTTTTTTGCTTTTATTCCTACCATAACAAAATATATATGTGTAGAGTAAACCATGTTCTGTTGTCATTCATATGTTAATAAACTTTACTAGGTAGAACTGTCTGAAAAATGAACAAAAGCAAGTGAAGCAACAGTTGGATTTAAAAAAATGTTTTTGAACGATTATAAAAATCTTTCAAATCATTAAATAATTTGAAATAATTTACAAAAAAACAATAAAAATAATTAGTTTATCAACATCTTGAATGATTTTAATGATATCACATAGTTCCAGAAAATTCTTATTTCTGTTTATCTGTCTGATTTTACGGTCAGTCTCTTTTGACCACCCCATGTTGTTTAAAAGAATATCTCAACGGCGAACACATCCAGTCTGTTTCGCAAGGTGCATTTAACCTTTTTGTTTAGGCATACAGTTTATGAATACAACAATTTTCTCCTAAAGATCTGCATCCCCTCCAGGAGCATTTAGTTGGAAAGTGAGAGCCGCCTTGTGGTATTATCACAGAGAGGCTGAAGTATGGCAAGGCAATATTGCAAAAAAATTATAACAATATCATGTTTCCTATCATTCGATATCGATAATTATTGAATAGTTTTTACATTTAGGAATATTAGGATTTTTTTAATTCAACCAATTTATTTAATTTAACTGACATTACTAAGGCAAATAGTTGTAATAGTCAAAAAAACTGATCTCTTTATAATAAAATAAACAAGTGTTTAAGAAACTCTTAAACTTGGTTAATAAAATGTTACAAAGTTTTTGCAACAGTAAAGTGTAAATGCTGAACAATCAAAGCAAACCTAACGTTATATCAACATCTGTAAGGTGTCAGTAATAATGATATACTAAACCTTAAACTCTGTAAACAAAACAAATTATGATAATAAAATCTGAGTTTTTAAGTAAAGGAACCAACCATCATTATTCAAATACATACTGCAACATTACAAATTGTGGAGTTGAATGACTACATTACCCCTATGCTAAAAACTTGGATGGACAAGAAAGAAACTAAAAATCCACTTTTGGCGACATGCTTAAATCTTTTTTTTATTTACAATCTCCTTACTCATTTTTCAATCTCATTTTTGCATGTGACCTGAAGTGATAAGAGTGGATTCCTTGACCATTTACAATGGACTTTGCCGGTGCTTAATTTGTAAATTGCGAGGTCCCAGAACAGATCGGTGTAATGGATCCGGCATGTTACGTGAGGTTGGAGAGGTGTCACAGACGAAGGACGAAAGTGAAGAGCGGGGGTTGTAGCGGACAAGAGAGAAGAGGGTTGGGGAGTCGCAGAAGAAAGTAAAAGTGAACAGTGGACGGGAGAGGAGGACAATTGAGGAGGAGGGTTATCGGTAAAATGAGGGCACAAATAAAACCCTGGGCTCCTCTGGGGTCACTCATAACTAGGCGACCATCAAGAGTTTTCTCAGGATGACAAATGAACAAACCATTGGTTTCGATACAAGTTTATAGAGAAAAGTAAAAAGCGCTGCACTGTTTGGGTGTGCTGTGTTTGTCTGAGGAAATTAGTCTGCCGTTATTACTGAAATGTGTATATTCCATACAAAGTCTGAAGCAGATTGTTTAATTCTACTCATGCTCGCTGCTTTCGTTAAAAGTTAAGGTGTTTTTAATTAGGTGCGGCTGGAAAATGTACACAGTTCACGTGCTTGCACAACATTTGCGTGTCACTCCCATATGAGCGTTGTGCAAGTCGCACGCCTCCATTGGAAATGACAAACTGACACCCTAAGCATATTGGCACTGCATCCGTGGAATGCGCTCAGCAGCCACATTTTAATAAAACTATAGACTTCATACTGAAGCATTTTATTATATCGATATTGACAATGGTGTTCGGTCAATAAATATTGATACAGATTTTGATCACCCAGCCCTAGGCTTAAGTCACTTTCCAAAAGCTTTTCATTCAATGTTCCACACCGGTTGAAACCAAGAAACCCTCTTCTCTCCAGCCATCTCACCACACGACAACCCCAAAAGACGATTAATTCCAAGACACCTTAACTGACACTTGCACCAGTACTTGCACATTCGCACCAGACACATTCTTACAATCAGTCCATATAAGAAAAAAATCTCACAGGTGATTGGGCTTGACAATCCACCTTTAGAAACACATTTCCCCTAAAATTAAATAAATTAAATAAATAGAAAACAATCCTCCTATCAAACTACAGCACTTCATTCTCAGAGCATAAACACTTTCTTTGCATAGTTAGCACATCTTGTATGTATTGCCTCCTCTTGTTAAATTGCTGAATGCCTCCTCAATTGTAAGTCACTTTGGACAATAGCATCTGCTAAGTGACTCAATGTAAAAATCTCAGTGTAAATCAGACCTAAAAAAATCTTCAAGACTTCCATGAAGAAGATGGTCTTAGTTTAAAATGAACTCTGAAGAAGTTTGGTTGAGATGAGAAGGCTATCTGACCGAAGAGCCCAATGAACCAACTATCAAAAACACTTTTCAACTGCACTGTTAAACATTTCATCTCGCCTCAGCTCACTTCTATTCACTTTTGCTCATCTCTGTTTACATTCCCACTGCAGTTTAGTATAACTAATGGGTAGGTTTATCACTATAGTTGCTCTGCATACTGCTGTGACATCCTGAAAGACGTTTTCATTCTGGGTCATCCCATCTGCTCCTAAGCTACCAATGAGAGGAATCTGGACCTCGTCTACTGACCACAATGCTGCTATATCATGTATCTTTTTCTTGTGGTGGTATTAAAAGGTTTAGTTGTCGAAACAAAC